AAAGTGATAGCAACAAGTAAATACAAACTTAAACAGGTTAAAAAATGAGATTACAGTGCAACAGTGCGGGTGAATACAAATGCCACAAATTAATTTGAACTGTAATGTAAATTTATCCCACATACTTAATTATGAATGTTTGGATCTATTGCACCTGCCCCCGAGGAGCCCATTCATCTGTTTTAAAGGGAACAGCTCAAACTCTTTATTTATTTATGTAAATTATATTCTCCTTTTTTCTGGACTCTTTTTGTTACAAAAATTGTGAACTCAGAGTGTGGACTGCTCTGATCAAGGACCAAATGAAGCTCAGAATAGGATGTAGATACTAATAACAAGGCATTACGTTACATAGATCATGTTCATCCTATAAAGTGACTACTACTACTATCTGCCTTTTCCCCTCATCATTAGTTCAGTCTGCAACAGGAAATGGGACTCATTTTTATCATTAAATGCAGTGTATTTAAAACAGAGTAACAGTAACTGTATCACTGACATGGACTGATGTAATGCTGTAGATCCAGTGTTTAAATATCACAAAGCTTTAGTAACGAATTATCATGGAGTCAGATCAACATTTGCTTTTTCTGGGAGGTTACACCCAAGCTAATGAGATTTCTGTGTTTAATTTCTGTATGGATAAAACAAAAGGTCACCTGTAATTACAGTAAGTTGCACCGTGTTGTCTTTTTTGGAGGATGTGTCTGTGTGAAGTGGATGGGGTAGCTTTCAATTCATGGCACTGCACCTTTCCCCGAGCACACTGTACATGAAGTTGAGCTAATTGGATACAGTAATTAAGGCACAAAGGAATGTTTGAATTCAAATGTGGAGGAGAACATCCTTTCATAAAGATATGTCATTTAAAACAGGTTTATTTGCTTGCTCACCATCCCTTCCCTCCCTGCTTAATTCTGTGTCATTTTAGATGCAGCAGTCACAGGAGCTACTGACTGGACTGAGTGAAACGCACACCCGGCTGGATGAACACACATGGTGAGAGAGGGGAGGGAAAAAAAAAAAAAAAGATTTGATAAATTCGTCACCCGAGCCACAGGATACCTGGGTTTTTAATTGTATTGGACAATCTTCATTAGAGAGAATGAGCGATGGCAGAGATCAGGGCAGCGTCACTTTCAAAAGCCTCTCTCCGGCCACGCTTTTTCACATTGCACAATCAAAATGTCAGCCTACCTTGGTCATTTGTAACATACTAAGTCGCAGTCGATGGCTGCAATGCAGCAGCATGCTGGGGGAAGGGCAAACAGTCTGTCTCCTTTAAAGGGATTTTTAAAGAGTCTTGATTAGAAAGTATAATGAGATACCAAAGACACAGCAAAGATGATCTCTCCAGAGACTGATGGAAAACAAATTAAGATGGTGCTTTTTGTTTTTAATTATTATTTTTCCATCAGTCCTCAGAAAGCTCAGCGTACCCGTAAGGCACAGGAGTTGGACTCTCTGTCATTGATTTTTTTTTTCCCTGACACATTTGAATAATACAGATTTTAATCATGTCAGCACACAATGCTCTGATCCCTTTAACACCAAAGCCTTCCAGCACTGCACATGCATTTGATTTAGAAAATGGCACAGTGTCTGAGCTAAAAACTGGGTACATTCAGCTCTTAAGTTTGTGTGCATGTGTGTCAGCGTGTGTGTTTGTGATTGCTTGTGTGTGGACCATACAGTTTAAAATCTAGTGCAGTGTTTTTAACAGTTCTGAGCTAACCAATCCAAAAAATCTGCTACAACATGTGAGTTGTAAGCCTGTACTCAGAATCACACTGCACGGGAGATGAACATGTGCATTTGTCCCCTCCAATAAAAACATGACAGCAGCAGAGGGCTTTTATTTGGACAAAATTAAAGACATTTACACCCTAATCTCATACAGGAAAGGTGAAATTTGTTTCCCAAAAAATCAGAATGCAGGAAATTAAGTGTTTGATGCTCCAAATTTGCTGCCGGAGGACCCTCCAAACCCCCCAAATTCATGGACACGGGACCTGCAACCTTGCTTCTTACAATATACTTACAATAGATTTAGTCAGGTTTGAGCATTTATTTTACACATGCAAACTGTACTGTTATTAAGATTTCTGTAGCCCTGTAGGTGGAAAAGAAGGGTAGTATACTATGTCTTGACATGATATCTGTAATAGAGTACTGGCCATTCAGCGAGCAGTCATCTAAATAGTGGCCTTTGTTTTCCTCTGTTAATTGGAGCATGTTCCAAGATGGTGAATGGGGGAGAAACACGAGACTTCCAGGACATGAGAAACAGATGCTCTGCACTACAGTGGATGGACACCTTTCCCAGGAAGGACAAGAACAAGAGGAGAGGATGAGCTGAACAATAACTGATCTGTAGTGCTGAGAAAAAGAGAAACCAGAAAGGCAGGAAGGAGGTGTGACTTATTCAAATCTATCCTTTTGTATTTACACAAAGGCCAGAGTTAGTTAGACATTGTGAAGCCTATTGTATTTTATTGACACATAACTTGATCATCCACAGGCTTGACGAACCTATGTCTTGTGACCCAGCGTGGCTCTCATTTTCATTCCATCTGTCACGCTACTGTATGTCATATCTTATTCATGCATACCAATGTCCATTTTAATTAGTCATTCTGGATCAACGCAGACCTCTTCCTGCTCCGAGCAGCGGTGCGGCAGATGTGTGAATGAAATTTGTGTGCTATTATTTGAGTGAAAATAGGCCGTTAGAGCCATTGTGACGAGACAACAGCCCCTGTATGGAAATAAAATACATACATCAGGGTTAAAAAGAAAAGACAGTTGTAGAGATGTAACAGCATGAAACACTTTAGTTGGTATCTGTGTGCAAAAAAATAAATGGTTACGCCTCAAAGGGTTCATCTTAATTAAATTCAACCCCATTATTTCTCCAAAAAATCAAATGAGGCTTTTCAGTGTATTAGTGTTACAATTAATTATCATAATTAGAATTATCATAATTGTGCCTGTGCAGGAAAACACAGCTAAGAAAAACATCCTTTTTGCATGTTAATACACACATTTCCCTGCTGCAGCTGGTGACTAACAGTTCAACACTTTTCTGTAGCATATAAAACAAATGATAAATCTGTGTAGGTGCAGCACACCTCTGATAATCACACTCAGTTGCCATTTTGTTGTCATGTCACTATTCATCCTTAATTTAGTCAGTTTGAATTCATCAAAAAACTGAGATGAGGGTGGCAATTCAGAGACGTGGAGCAAGGCTAAGATGTGTACACTGTTTACAATCACCCTCCAAGCTCTCTGTGTCATTCCCATTGAAATGGAGGCTCGCTCACAACAATCAGCTGTTGAATCGCTAAAAAATTGTTTACTGTATGTTCAAGAGCGTGAAGCAGTGTTTGGCCTTGAGAAAAGTAGTAAATTTGAGTTCAAATCTAACAAATAAGGGCATTATGAAAAGCCCATTTAAGGTAAGGTCAGCGCTATGGAGTCAGCACTGGGAGGGGACCAAATCTGCTGGGATGGGATGTGTCCGCCCCCCTTATATATATTTTAATTACTGCCTTGATTACAGGTGTTGTACATAATTGATATAATGTTATATTTTTTGACAATATAGTCCTATTTTACACCAGTGTGTACACAGTTTATATAGTCATACATGTGTACAATAAGCAGACAGATATGTTGTCTTGTCATTATTATATTAAAACCTGTCAATCACTTTTGCTCATCCGGTAACAAGCCTTTAAGCTCTGTTTTTGCTTTTCAAATGTTATTATTTACACATCCTGTCAGTGTTTGGTTATTTCAATTACAACCTGAGAGAAGCAACAGTTAAGCATCTTCAACCAACCACACCTAACCCCACACTGCAGCCATAGTCCTCTCCTGCAGCTGCTGTTTGGACCTTCATCTTGTTATCATGTTAATTATTGTCCACCACAGCGAACTGCAAGGCTTTCTTATTCCTCAAGAGGACTTTAACCCCAGCTTGGAGACATGATAAGCTTTTTATATTCAGTAGATCTTGTATTTCACCAAAGAGATGAAGATATCTGTTGCTTCTAGACACATGTGGGTCATTTTTAGAAATCATTATTCTTACAGATCAACAACAAATACTCACACAACTATGTCAAACCGATTATCTTCCATGTTTCCGGACCTTATCAATCAGTAGAAAATCCCTTCCCAGCAATGTCAGAGTAGGGACTTGACAGAAATGTGATTCAATGTCCCACCTTGTGGCCAAATATAGAAATTACCTGAAGGATATTGTTATGATCCTCTATTAGTGTGCTACATCTGTAAATGTTATCCCACAGATGCCTTTGATAGTTCATAACTACATGCTAAAATCAATGAGAGAAAGCACTCAACAAAAGGAGGCACATGCAGCTGGGTTTTACGGAGAATTTAAAGAGAGGACAGACTTCTTGGACATCTAAAATTAGATGCGCATGAATGGGAAGAGAGAAAAAAAAAAGGACTTCCTGCTGACTTCTCTCAGTTCTGTTTCATCTCGGCCCACGCTGAGATGTCAATAGAGCCACTGGACATTTGGAGGGAGTGGTGCTTTTCACATGACAGTGATTTAGATATCCTTTCAAAACTAATTAGACTCTATCCCCAATTTCGCTGTCCTAATTCGTCCTCCTTCGCCTCAATTATGCACTGACATATATATTTAGTAGAAATGTTCTATGTAGATCACACAGAATGGAGAGGAGTCATTCTTTTTTCCTCAACTTGCATATTTTTGACACTGCTGGACAGCCCACAGCTGGAAGGCAGTATATTAGAAATACTTCCTGTTATTGCCTAATAGAAGTTTCTGACTCTAATCAACTGGTTTTATCACAGCAACAATATGTGTTTGCCAATTCATGTATCTTGCTCTGTATGTTATTTTGTGCTCTGTACAGTAACCTTGGGTGTTTTAAAAGGTGCCTTTTTAAATAAAATCTATTATTATTAATTCAACAGAAGCAAAAACAAGCCCTTCGTATAGTCAAACATACTTTATTATGAAAAACACACAGGGGCTCGGATCCTGTAAAATGAATCTCAAATATTGCACAAAAGCATTCATGCTGTCAAAAGTGTACAACAGTATTAAGAGGGGTATTTTACACAATATAATAAAACTCTCAAGTCATCATTCTACAGCATACCCTTCACAGAGCCAAATACTGATTGTCTTTAATGTCACAGGAGCTTTTAATATTTCCAACTCCCAAATCACGACCACTCTACCTCCTACAAATAAAGCCATAATAATGCCAAGTTTGAATTTCACAGGGCAGAAAGGAAATACACAAAAAAATACACATTGTACCTTCTGACCAGGTAAACAGTACATAAAGCATGGAAGAACTGTGAATGTGCATTATTTTTATGAAAGCCATTTTCTGGAATGAATGAGGACAGTTTCATCTGTTATGATTTTTAACAAAACCTGGCTTTTGCTGGCTATATGTGGTAAGTCTCACACCTTGTCACCATAAAAACTGAAGCCCAGGACAGAATGCAAGGGAATTAATAAGAATTTTATCTGGCACTTTCTATTTCAAAATGACATTTTACCTAAAAAAGAACCTGCTTCACAGACCTTGCAAATCGACCTCACTGGCTACGTTTACATTAGAGTTGCTCCAATACCAATACCACTACTGGAAATGCATCTGATACCACCTAAAATGCTTGATTGGATATCAGCGAGCGCGTGAATCTATACACTTTACTGATAAACTTTAAAGTAGTTTCACACCTAGGTGAAAAGGCACTTCTCCTTTGAATCAGTTCTTATTTGCTGCTCTACAACAGTGGCTTCAACAGGAAGTTGCAGTGCAGCCACTGTTCTAGAGCTGCCAAACTTAACAGTAAATAGTGTGACGTTAGCCATTAGCAAAATCTCAAATAATAATGATAATATTAATAAAAGGAAAGTTCTATTGCATTAATTTTCTGTATGTTTCTGTTCATGTTTTACAAAAGGGTTTAACTAAACCATGCCATACAACCATGATAGCAATCATTTCACATCCGTACAGGGTTAGTAGGACACAGCTTTTATTCATTTTGTTAGCGCCATGGTATCAGATCGGCACTCGGTATTGGCTGATACGCAAGCTCAGGTATCAGAATTGGTATTGGGAAGAAAAAAAATGTTATCGGAACAACTCGTTTACATTCATGGAGTCCCAAGGCAAAAAGCTAAAACACTATCTGGGTTTTTGTTTAAAGATATTTACATGTGCACCTTGTTAGCCTGCGGTTGCTAATTCCTGTATCTTTTAATACTGCTTTAAAGGGACACTGCACTGGTTTTTGAAATATGTGATTTGTTATCATGTGAAATGAAGAATCCAGCATTTTTTAAGCTTAATACAAACTTGGGACTAAACGTCAGTCTCTGCTGCATCAAGTGATCATTCTTATTTTAAGCTCCCCGTTGTTGGTCCCCAAGTTACTTGCAATGGTATACTAAATCACTGAACATTTCTGTCTGCTCAAAAAAAAAGTATGAAAGCTGTGCTCTTTATTTAATCCCTCACTCTTTGAATGAGCAATAGCATATGCACGAGAGAAATAATTATTCCAAAATAAATGTGTAGCGCCTGATAATAATATTACACATGACGTAGACCAGGCTGTTACAGTTGCTGATGCACCAATCTGAAAAATGTACAGATGATTCTTAGTTAGTGTAGAAGACCAAAAAGCAGAAGTAGTGAGATGTTTATGTGCCACGGTGAGATGTTAGTATTAAAGTAAGCCTGGTGTCTTCTCACAATCACACTACATTATTCTGTGCCATGACATTAAAATGTGTTAACCCAAAACTACTTCAGTAACTGTTTTTTTTAAAGTGGACTTCCCTATGCATGAACACACACCCAGTGAGGAGGGCCTGGTGCTCTCTGTTGTGGCAGAGCGAGAAAGTTCTCCTACGGCACGCTGTCGGTCTCCTCGGCCTCCACCAGGCAGGACCGGTCCGTGTCCAGGACTCGAAACGGAGGGTGGTACTCAAACGCCGTGAATATAGTGGAGCCGAGATTGTGCCTCTGGTGCAGGAACCAAATAGCTGCTGAGACTCCCATGATAGCCACCACGCTGAGAATGACCAGAGCAGATAGCAGCGCGCTGGACTCTGAGGAGAACATGTAACAATGCAAGGAAGGTCACTACTGTAAACACAAAATCCCAGAGGAATAGGTAAAGAAACAGCAAAAAAACAGCTCAAAGGTCGACTTACTCGGCTTGACTTCCTCTGGCTCTGAAGAAAAGAAAAAAAAAAACACATTGTGAGACAAGTGGAAAACAATCCCGACCGTATTTTACTGAAGTCACATTTACTATTATCACGCTACATACTCATGGACTCACTTTCAGAAGCTCTGGACAAAGACATTTTGACTTACATCTTGCATAACAAAAGACTTAAATCTTACTCTGATTGGTCTCACAGACCACTCCGTTCTCCGCCTGTTCCAGGCAGCTGACATTCTCCCACTTTCCTGTTTCGCTGTGCAGAGTCACACACGTATCCATGGGCACGAGGTCTGATGGAGGAGGCCTGGCCATCCAGTTAGTGAATCTTAAAGGCTGCTCACCGAACCACCTCATGGTGTCATCTGACAAGACACACCAATCAGTACTGTAGCAAGAATACAGCCACTATCACAGGTAATGTCAATGTAATGATGGCGTTTGTCCATTTTGCTTTGCCTTTGGTCTTCCGCCAGCGCAACCTTCACTGAGCTGTGTTACAACACAAAATAATGTTGAAAGCAAATACATTTCCTTCCTCAGGATTTACACTGATTGAAATGTGATGTAGAGTTTCTGGTAGCTCAGCATCCCCTCACGATGCCTTCAATGACTGCCTTTAAAAACAGTATTTCCTGAAGTTTAGCAAGGATTTAAAGACAAGGACGAGTAAGTGCTGTCATACAAGCTTTTTAAAAGCACTTGCAGAAAAAAGGGCCAACAGATAACAGCTTTATATTCACTAAATAGAGGATTAACTAGAGCACAGAGCAAACTGAAAATATCTCAAATAATCTTTCAGTTGAGATGATTTATCTTTTTGGCCAAAATACTGTCGCTAACTATTTAATTTCTGGGTTTGGAGAGCTGGTTGCCTCATCTGTGTCCATGGCAATATTTGGATCAACTCCTCTAGATGTTAACTTAAGTTAAGCCCTAGCGGACATAGTCTCACGTCTGGCCAGAAGGCTCTTCCTGTGTTAATGAAAGGACTCCTCGCCTCCAACATATGGACTTTGCATTAAGGATGTTATGTATCATTTACGTTTGGAGAAAGTCTGTTGTTATATGTAGGATCAACTGCACGCTTCTTTGATACCTGGCAACGATTTTTAACTTTTGTGGCAAATATGGAAGCTGAAAAATTGTAATGAAACACACTATACCCCGCCACTTATGCCACACAGATTAATCAATTTGCCACCATTCATAATAACTTTATTGCACTGCAAAATAAAAAAAATGCTGTTGCTAAGGTCAAGAATAAACTTTCACACTCAACTTTTAAGCCAGCATGGACAACAAGTCAGAAAGTGCCTAGAAATATGTAGATAAGGTGACCTTAAGTTTGGATTTTTTGTAGAATTAACGTATATCATATCCCAAAGAAACAGATGATCACTTACAGAAAATAATCAGTGGACACTTTATAATTATTACAACCGTCTGAAACAACACCCTTTAAGATTCAGTGTTGGTTTTCCTCATAGCTACCTCCAAACAAGTGTAAAAAGATTTCATCTTACTGAGGTTAGCCCGCATGTTTTCACAGTCCTCCAGTCACACTGTACTTACTGTCTGTGTCATAATACATTCCCAGCCACACGTTGACATTGTTTTTCCACACCTCTGGGCTATAATTAACAACAAAGTCATTCTCCTTGGCGCTCTGGATGGTCAAAAGCTCTAGAAAAAGCAGAGCAATATATGAAGACAAAATCACACACACAGTGAGAATACACACAAGTCCATTTGTCAATTGTTGTTAAGATATTTGAAAATAAAATGTCTCTGGTACCGAATCCTTGGCAGAGGGTTTTTGCTCTGTCGAAGGTGTAGCTTTTGATTTTGTCCTCTTCTCCGTGGACAAAGTGGTAACATCCGTCTTCAAACGGCACCCAGGTGCGTCCGTCAGCAGGGCAGTCTGAGGAAAATCAAGGGACAGAGTGGTAATGGAAAGATTTGACTCCTGACCTATCTAGGTTTATTTTAGCTGTGTGCATGTGTGCAGGACGATTTAGAAGCTACAACAGGAGAAATAACAAAACACTAAGAGTGTGTCATATCATCTCGTTCACGATAATACTGGTATAATTGTTAATATCATATGAAAAATACAAATCGTAATACTCACAATATTTTGAATTGTTGACATTTTGACGTCATACTGTTACCCATGGCAACAAGAAGCGTGGTTGATTTACATATATAGATCCCAGGGTAATTTTTTTGGTATTTTGGAGTTCTTTAAATGTGTATTTGTGGTGGAATTAATTTTGTTAAACTATTAATATTGTATACAAAATCTGAATCTCACTTTGAGTTACTATTGTCGCTCCACGATACGATATTATCACGATACTTTGGTCAAGATACAATATTATTGTGATTTTAAACGTGTTACAATATGCTGAGTACTGCGATAAAATATTTTGTGACAAGCTGTGATTTATTACCTTTTATTCAACTGCTAATAATGTCACCAAAGGAAAAGTTTGTCAGCATAAGATAAAGTTTTCAGTCTGTTCATCTCACTTAATAATTTTTTGCAGCAATGTATGTAGTGGACTGAAAAAGTAATTGATTTTATTATTCAAGTGGGCTACCTAAAGTTTAATTTGTATCTGTAATATTAATAATTTATTAAATTAAAAAAAGGTGTGACGATACGATATTGCCACACAAAAATATCGCGATACTTTGCTGTATCGATCTTTTCTCCCACCCCTATTACTGACAAACTAAAGAAATTAGATAATTTTTTTTTAGTTTTTACTGAATATCTGAAGGCAAACTGTTAGATTGACAAGTAAAACTATATCACTTATTTTGTTGCAATTCTATGTTCTTAAATTGATAATAAACTTTTTTCTTTTTTTTTTTTACTAATTTGTCATATCATCAAGAATATTATTATCGAAAAAAATACCCTCAAATATCGTGATATTATTTTAGGGCCATATCACCCACTCCTACAAAACGCCTTATGAAATACAGCTGACTTAACAAACGAAAAAATTCCCATTTTAAGGTGCTGCAACAGCTTTACATGTCTGTACAGTCGAAACTACTCTGTGATCTAGTTTCAACTTGTGACCACTGTTCCTCTTTATCGGTGCAGTTTGAGTCTGTGTCTTGCAAATGGTGTCATGCTTTTCTAGACTGTTCCACTTATTGTTTTTTTAATACTGCTGCACCTGTTATTTGGGATCAGATTATTCTCGCTCTATGAAGCTCTGCTGTCTGTCTCCAGCAGCGGTACAAGATGTACTCAGATGTTTGAGTTAAAAAGTAAAAGCAGCACAGTGTAGAAATAAGTGCAGTAAGTAAAAGCCCTGCATTCAAAATCTCACCTCAGTAACAGTACAAAAGTATTATCAAAATTAAAAATAAAAATTAAAAGTTAATTTCCCACTACTTATGTAATGCTGAGTAGCTTCATCCATAATAATACACCATAATTTACTAGTTGATTTATATGTTGTATTAATAATCGGAATCTGCAAAGTAACTTGTACCAGTGTCAGACAAATGTAGTGGAGTTAACAAGTATAATATCAACTCTTTAAATGTGGCGGAGTAGAGGTATAACTTAGCATAAAAATAAAATAACGCCACTTGGGTAAAGTACAAGTACCTCAAAATTGTACTTGAGTATAGTATTTGATTAAATGTACTTAGTTACATTACACCTATGGCCTCAAGTTAGGGGAGACCAGGGTTGGTGGGCACACTTTACGCTCTCTGCCATATTTCTTTGGCATCATTTATGTCAGAATATTCTAATCACCAGCAAATAAAAGGTATAAAGCTATAAATTAATATGTTTTGATGTACATAAATGTTTTCTAAAATGAAGTGATTTTTGATTAAAGCCATGCTTTGCATTTGTGCCAACCAGTCCTATCATGGGTTTGTTTGGCACTACGTTAAAATGCTGTAGCTACAAAAATAGAAGCAACCAATGGGAACAATGGGAACATTTAATTCAAACATGAACCAGATAACATGCTATCTTTTAAAACTAAAACTAACTAATTTTTTTTATCAGTTTATCAGTTGGCATGTCTAATTAGTTTCGCCATTGATCAATCAAAATAATACTAAAAAAAAAAAATGGTACAACTCACAAGGTTCACCGACAAAACAACTGTCTTATAATAAACACGTTTTCCAAACAAATATAACATGCTAATGTTATTAGCACAAGCCTATGGTATTTTACATTGTATAAATTAGCCCAGCAGCTAGCAGACTTTTCCTCTGCTCATATGAAGCCAGGATAAATCACACACAAGACTTTAAATGCTATTTTAGTGGAGGCTTTATTGTCCTCACAATTTATTGTTTCTTATCTGTGAAATTGAAGTACATAAAAGCTTTGTTTCAACTGAGGAAATGGTTTTAGCTTATAAAAATAGAATAGATAGTCGTCACGATGTGTACTTACAGACAGCAAATTGAGAACCTCATTCACATCACAATTATAGGTGGGCTGGGTATTTCAAAATTAAATTACTATTGTCACCCCGGTAGCCAAAATGACCTGGCCCAGCATCGGCCTGAAGTCGGCATGCTGGAAGAATTAGGTCATTTACATTTCTGGGTAGGTGCATGTCAGGCTCGGGATGGTTTACGATTTTCCAATTTTGAATAGTCATTTTATTTTTGAAAAATCGATTTTTTAATGCAACTATTACTATTCGCCGGATTATTCGAAAAATTGTCGAATAGTTGCCACGATTTTCAAATAGCATTTTTGCTTGTGTTGCCCATCCCTGTGTCAGGCTACGGCGTAGGCTCTACATTGACGCAGATTTATACTTCAATGCAGAAGCGTCCCGCTTGACGCAATGTAAAAACGTTTTGTTTTTGTTTTTTAAATATAACTATAACACTTAAATGTCACCCTCACCAAAAAAGTTAGTGACCTTCAGATGTTTTAACCCAGTAGATGAGTGTAGTTGAGTAAAGCAAACATTTTTATTTTGCATTTTAGTTTCTGTGACCTTCAAAAGGACCAGAAAATAACTGTGTGCCAACCAACCCCGGTCTCCCCTGCTGTAAAAACACACCTCACAAGTGTTGCTTGTTGCCAGGTTATGTCTCGTCCTTATAGCAGTGTTTTAGGTGATGATAAACTTCCTTTACAGTTATTAAGTCCAGTCAGTGCACATTTAAATGACAACACTCACAGTCCCTACTTCACATGCTGTTCTACTGTTAAAATTAGCCATGAGGCACCTTCAGGCAAATCCAAAAAAAATGCTGCCCAGCTCTACACCCACTCCTAAAGGCAACACACCGCTTTAAATTTGCTGTATTTGCTTAAAACAGGTATTTCGCAACACTGGAAAGCACACAACTTTTAACTCAGATAACCTCCGTGTATGCTAACGTTGGCTCAAAAGTTATGTTGCCATATGCAAAACACCAGTGTCGACATTCAGGAAAGTTGGTGTGGTAACAGTGGTACATTTAGAGCTACTAACATGCCTCCAGAGGAACCAGACACTAAACAAACATATAAGTACAAAGAGCAATGACTAACTGTACACACAGGCCTGCGCAATGCTACATTCAACGGCTGTGTACAACCGTAGCTATGTCCGTACACACATCACGTTAATGTAGCTAAGAGCGAAGATATAGAGATTTGGAGTCTTACCTCCGGTCAGACCCAGTTGCAGCTGCACACACAGCACCAACACACCGCAGATTAATGTCAGGGAACAATGATTTCTCCTCACTGACTCCATAACAGCCAAGACAAATAGTCATGCAGCACCAAACTAGTTTTCGGACTGTTGCTCGCCTCTAGTGTCTGCAGCACCAACGTGAGCGTGATCCCACCCACACACACAGCTCAGTGCAAACAGCGCAAACAGCTCTCTAACATGGCTCCAACACTCCACCAGTGAATACACTGAACAACCCACTAGCCTGCATTCATCTCACCTACAGTGCAAGTCAATGCTGATACTTATTGTTACAGTGATTTTACATACCTGGCAACAATAAACAAGAGCCATCTGAACCCTGTTATGTAAGATTTTATCATAAAAATGTGCACATGGATAATTTATGCAAATGTATTCTGATGTTTGGAAATGCCTCCTGGAAATTTAGCCGACGTGTTGGTATGATAAAAATAAAAAGTCCAAGCTTAGATTAATTTGCACCCAGGAACCTCTGGGTGGTGCTGCATGCACAGTGTTCAGACGGACTCAAGTTCCTGGATTTGCATCATTTTATACTGTACAAATACACGCACATATAGATACACACAGTTGTTCTCTGTAATCTGCCAGGGCTATCCCTGACTTACACTCACTGGCCACTTTATTAGGTACACCTTGCCAGTACCAGGTTGGACTGCCTTTTTTTCTTCATGGCATAGATTGAACAAGGTGCTGGAAACACTCCTCAGAGATTTTGGTCCATATTGACATGACAGCATCACACAGTTACTGCAGATTTGTCGGCTGCACATCCATGATATGACTCTCCTGTTCCACCACATCCCAAAGGTGCTCTATTGGATTGAGATCTGGCTGCTGTGGAGGCCACTGGAGTACAGTGAACTCATTGTCATGTTCAAGAAACCAGTTTGAGATGATTTGAGCCATCAGAAGATGGTACACTGTGGTCATAAAGGGATGGACACGGTCAGCAACAATAGTCAGGTAGGCTGTGGTGTTTAAACCATGCTCAGTTGGTACTAAGGGGCCCAAAGTGTGCCAAGAAAATATCCCCTGCACCATTACACCACCACCACCAGCCTGAACTGTTGATACAAGGCAGGATGGATCCATGCTTTCATGTTGTTTACACCAAATTCTGACCCTACCATCTGAATGCCGCAGCAGAAATCGAGACTCATCATATTTTTTCAATCTTCTATTGTCCAGTTTTGCTGAGCCTGTGTGAATCGTAGCCTCAGTTTCCTGTTGTTAGCTGACAGGAGTGGCACCTGGTGTGGTCTGTTGCTGCTTTCAAGGTTTCACGTGTTGTTGGTTCAGAGATGGTCTTCTGCATACTTTGTAACAAGTGGTTATTTGAGTTACTGTAATCAGTCTGGCCATTCTCCTCTGACCTCTGGCATCAACAAGGCATTTTCACCCAGAGAACTGCGGCTCACTGGATATTTTCTCTTTTTCAGACCATCCTCTGTAAACCCTAAAGATGGTTGTGTGTGAGAATCCCAGTAAATACTCAGAGCAGCCCGTCTGGCACCAACCACCATGCCACATTCAAAGTCACTTAAATCACCTTTCTTCCACATTCTGATGCTCAGTTTGAACTTCAGCAGGTCATCTTGACCATGTCTACATGCCTAAATGTACTGAGTTGCTGCCACAAGATTGGCTGATTAGCTGTTTGTGTTAATGAGCAGTTAAATAAAGTGGCCAGTGAGTGTATGTTTCTGATGCTGTGGTTAAGTATGTCTGCTGACATTAACTAGATTCCATCTTCTACCATTAAATGCTATTTCCCAACAGTTTACTTGGCCGCCAATTTATTTCCTCCAGCATGCTGAGTTTGGGCCGATGCTGGGCCAGGCCATTTTTGATAACAGCCCAGTGACGACAGTGTCTTCAGAGTTGGGCCAGTTTATATTTGGCCTGATTCTTGCCTCTCTGTTCCCTCAGTCTCTACAGAATAAAGGTGAAAAAGCGTTCTGTTTCAAGACTCCCATCACATTTACCACAATTTACCATCACACATTAAATCCCTAACATCTAGTGGATTATTCAGAAAATTGTTTTAGATACTTTGTAAGCCCTGAGGGTAAAATCAATTTTCTTTTCACTCTGTTGTCATATAGACACAGGCAATGCACACACATGCACAAACAGGATCTATACATGCATTAAATGGAGATGAGAGAGATGTCGGAGTGAGGGGGCTGCCATGGACAGGCGCCATGAGCAGGTGGGGGTTCGGTGCCTTTCTTAAGGTCATCTCAGCAGTGCCCAGGATGCGAACTGGCACCTTTCCAGCTACCAGTCCATGCTCCATATTTGGTCTTGAAGTGATGACCCTCTGGTTCCCAACCCAAGTCCATATGGACTGAGCTAGTGCCGCCCCAAATCATGAAAACAATCATGTTAACCTTTATAACTTTGTAGAGATTTTGGTATTGCTTTGTGTAATATTTGTCTATTTACATACTACCCAATCAATTTTCAGGACCTTTTTGAAGACAAATGTGGCATTACAAAAAGCTTATCCTGTAAACCAGTGGTTCTCAATCTTTTTTTTGTGTCAGTGATCCCTAAATTGATTCATATTAGGTCACAGACCCCCACTTCGGAGACCTCCATCTGAAAAGATTTTGGTTGTTTCATGGATTAAGACAAGATGGTTGTCAAGTTGAGGAGATTATTGTGCAAAGAAACTATAAACTTTATAGTTTCTTGTAACCGTGGAGGAAGTGAAACCTATGATCAGAACAGTCACTCTTACGACTATTACTCACACTGAGCTCACTTCTACAGTAAATGAGATAGTGAAAACAAACTATTACCCTTTTTCTGGAAACCTGTTGGACCTCCCCTAAGGACCCCTAGGGGTCCCTGGACCCCCAGCAGGAAAACACTGCTGTAAACAATAAAACTGTTCGAATATACACATGAATGTGCTTTTTATTATGAAACATTTCACTTCAAATGTCTTATGTTAGAGTGTTTGTAAAGTCAGCATGGAGCCAAAACTTCAGGGGGGTGACACAACACCATCAGGAGCACTTAATAAATGACGAAACATATTCAGACCTGAAACGATAATGTGATGAGACTATTTCCTGGTTTCAGCTTCTCAAATGAGGATTTGGGACTTCTAGTAAACTGATGTTTGGGTTTTGGACATTAGAGGAAGTCAGTTTGGACTCGGAGCTGTGATAGACATATTTAACTAATTAAGTCATTTTATAAACCTAACAATTAATTGATTAACTGAAAAAATAGTTAAAAAAAATTACCTTGTCCTTGTCTGTTGTTGTTACTGTATTACTACAAAACTGCATTATATTACATTGTGTCTCAAGTGTTTCTAAATTTCTGGACAAATTATGGCATCAAAAATAATCACAGTGTCAAATCAACAGCCTTCCACAATCATCTTAACAAAAAATGAATGCTGGAAGATTTGTAGTGGCTGTAGTAATGGCTGTGGTGGTGCAGTCGACTGCATTGTGTTGTATTGTTGCATCCACCCCTTGCATCTACTCTGTTATTATTAACATATCCAGACAAGTCCAATGAATAGTGCTACAAGAGGACAACAGTGCTGCCTGAATAATCACAGTTAAAATGGCATCAATGTGTGCTTCCTACCTGAGCAGGTGAGGAGGGAGGAGACAACAGAGAGCCAGAGAGAGGCAGGGTAGTTGTCGTTGTTGTTGAGGGGGGCTTTCAACTCCATTGCTTGTAGGCGCAGGTGGCACAAACACAGACAGCTGGAGCGTGAGTTTTGCTCCTCGTCTGGAGCTGGTGGCCTCCCGTAGGGTGGCACAACACCCTGCAGGATACCGTGGGGACCCATCTGCCATGGCAAGGCCTGCTCACAGACGCCCCCATCCACCCACCCTACACCATTCCTCCTGATACCCATAACTCGCCCTGTCCAGGCCACGCGTGTTGTCAACAATACCATGCCACAGTGTTTATATATTCTTTACCAGGTCCTCACCCTATGGGCTGAGAGCAGCATAGTAGTTCAAAAATACTGTCAAACCAAGTCAACAGACCTGCAGTGCAACTAGAACATGCTTGGAGGGATACAGTTGGAGCTCAAGCTTAGTTATTATAATTGATAGCTAAGAGGACTGCAACTGTGTATGTATAAATGGAGTCTGCTATATGGGACAAAAATGACAGCAAAGTCACATCTGTTCATTTATCTATACATTTATGTTTGGCAGTGTTCATGTTTTGTAAGGCTAAAGTGAGCAAGACGTCTGAGGAAAGGTACTTCATCTACCACATGCATATTTTCCAAATTCTAATGAGGCCAGATTTCTTATTAAATATGAATCAAAATGTGAGGGGACAAAGTGAGAGACGGTGCTTGGATTTCAGCCCTCTGAAGCTGCGGCCAAGCTCCAGCAACAACAATTATCATATTAAAATGTATTGTTCAATTATTTTACTGACACATTACACAAATGATGTTGTTACATAATGTCATCATTAATTCAAGGTTAGCAACCAGCTGCAATTTTGGTCATGACCAGTGGTGTATGGTAGGACTGGCCCCAATTCACGCTATTATGACGGGCCCTGGTACCAGATGTTGCATCTGAACAGCTACTGTATATCTTATCATCTCTTAAAATGATCAAATAGACTTGACATTGGACAACATAAGCAAACATATTACCCAGCAATCATCACTGCAAATCTGTTTATGACAAAAACAAATATAGAAATAAATTCTTCATTTAATTGAATAAATTTGATAGTTTATTCATAGTTTTTACAGTTTATGTAGAATAAATGTATAATTTAGACTGCTACTGACAATTTCTGCAAATTAATAAATGAATAAATAACTAAATAAAATAAAATAAAATAAAATACAATTATAATAAAATAAAATAAGCATGATAGGGATGGGTTTGCCTTTTGGGGGGACAAAATTGCAAAGGGCAATATTTTTGTTTAATGTGAGTTCTTCTTTGAAAACAGGCGTATTTCTGAGGTGGCACTTAAAATCACTCGCAGGGGCCTGTTCTCTGCTCAACACATTGTTTGAGGACCTGATTTCTCTACACACCCTCCACCCCATGGGCCCCAGCAACTGCACTCAATATTTATTATTAATTTATAAAATTAATTTATAAAATTGACTGGTTCAGGCTTGTTCTGTTCTAGTGAAAATAATGTGTAAAATTGCAGTAGTTACAAATTTTTTTATTGTTGGATAACATGTATGTTAATAATGTCTAACGTCAAGTCTCTGTTTGATCATGTGACAATACGATATTATCCGGTAGCTAATTTGGGCGCAAAATCTGTCAAAAGTGAAAAGCTGAGCACATCTACAGTACATGCCCATCAAGCAATCACACCTTGGCAGGTGGCAGTAAAAAGCTCCTTAAATGAGATTCCTTTGGCTTTTTTATAAACAGTTGCCAGTGGTGTGTGTGTGTGTGTGTGTGTGCCTTATAACCTGTAACTACCGTGCTCCAAGACCCATCACAATGGCATGCACTGGGGCCCATGGTAACTACCTTACGCCACTGGCAGAAGGCACAGGTTACCAAACTGTAAGCTGGACAGGTATACATTTTGTGTGTATGGATGTGAGGGCAGGAGGATGTGCAGTGCTTTGGTGCTGGGTGTCTGTGCATTAATTTTGTACAGGACTTTTGTGCAATTACTTCCAGTAGGGCATCTGTGCAACACGTAGTACTAGGGTATTATGCAGTACCATTGGAGTGTATGGATCTGGGGGTGATACTGTATGTTAACTGCACTTTGATTGTACATGCGTGTACATGTACAAGACAATTTTCTCCTGCGGGACAAAATAAATAGACTAAATGGGAAAACAGGTGTGATTAAAAAAAGACTCGATTCGCAGTGGATTAAAACTTGAAAATTTTGAAAATTTTTATTCAAAAATGTCAAAGAAGTGAAAAGAATAAACCTTAGGCAACATTCTACTGAGAAAACAAAAGTCTTTGGCTTTAACAAACACTACAAAACAAAATGACAGAGGATAGATTCCTTAATCTGTACATACAAGTTACCACTGGCAATTGTGTGGCACGAGTAAAAAAAATAAAAACAATAAACTTTCATATAACTCTATGAAAATCTCTTATTCCTCAAACTGTCTGTACAACAATCTTCATAAATTAGAACTTTTTTCATAACTTAATGACTGTTCAACATGGTGGTTACTTATATGACCAATTTGTCTTATGTGCACCTCTGCAACTCTTGACCCAGATTCTATGGCACTTGGTTCGGACACCACTAGCAGCATTAACCTCACAAGACAGTATTTCTTCTCAGTCTCAGGCATTACAAAGAAATCTCAAGTATAATCACAGCGGCCCTTTACGTTTGTTGCACACCCGAGCTAAACTACGGAGGAAATGCTGCTGCGAGTTTGTCTAGATCCCCTACAATGCAACAATGCAACGTGTTTGTTTACAGGAGCGCAGATCCAGTGAACGCCACGAGGCTTTGTTGTCATTGTTGGTCTTTAACGTCTTGAAATCAGCCTCTGGAATCTATTGCCATGAAAGCAGCAGTTCTTTTAAAACTATCAAACTGAATGCGTGAACATGAGTAGAGACATGTTGTCACTCCCCTCGAATTAATTACAATAATACATCATAAAAAAAGGTCTGAAGGAAATCAAAAAAGTATTCAAAACAACCTATAAGGAAACAGCTGTGTGTGGCCAGCTCCTGAGCGTGGCATTTGGTCTGGAAGGGCGGGCTGGACCTGCTAACCCGACCTAGTACAGAGGAGAAAGAAAACTCTGAGGTAGATAACTGGTCTGACTGACCACCAGGTCGAATCACAGGCTTACTGGAGGATACCGTAATAAAAAAAAGCCTGTTTTAATCCACCTTGTTCGAAACATTATCTGACTTATTTTTTAAAAAGGTCATAGCACTGTCCATTTATAGCTTAAATTGATTTCTTTTTAAAGGAACAGTTCACCCCAAACTCAAATATTTACAATATTCCTCTTACCAGCAGTGCTATTTACTAATCTAGATTGTTTTGGTGTGAGTTGCCGAGTGTTGGAGATATCAGCCGAAGAGATGTCTGCCTTCTCTTGAATATAATGTACCCAGATGGCACTCTGCTTGTGGTGCTCAAAGCGCCAAAAAAAAAAAAATATATTTAAACATGTCGCTTCCCAAAAATCATGACCTGATTACTCAAAATAATCCACAGACCTTGTTGTGAGCAGTTTCATGTTGGAACTATTTTCTCTCTACCAAACTACACCCGCCAACTGTATCACCACACAGAAGGAAGAGTGCATCTACTCATGGACAAGAGGCTACATAAATGACGTCCTCCTTGGCTGAGCTGTAACGTTAGCTAGCTCAGTGGTGCTAGGTGAGCTAGCAGTAGATGCATGCTTTCTTCTGCACAGTGATACGGTTGGCAATTGTAGTTCGGTAGAAAGAGAATAGTTCCTACAACATGGTCTGTGGATAATCTTGAGTAACAGGGTCATGATTTCTGGAAAGCGACATTTGTCACTAGTGTCATCTAGTTCCATTATATTCAACAGAAGGCGGCCATCTTTACAACCAATATCACCAACACTTGGCAACACCAAAACAATCTCAAAAGCACTACAGGAAAAAAAGTGTTTTTGATTTTGGGGTGACCTGTCCCTTCGACTTAATCCTAACTATAATGTTGCATTTTTAAGTATGAAATTAATTTGTGGCACTTGTTGGATCCAGGCCTTCCTTCATGCTCATGTGTGTCCGTACTGTACAATTACATATGAAAACTGTATGTAATAATAGTTGTACAAAAAAAGGCACACTGTCCAAACTGCAGTCTAGTTTGCAGAGTCACTTGTATCCTGGTTACAGAGACAAATGATTTTCCTCAGTGTATTAGCTCACAATCTTTGGTGAAGTAAACTACGATTGAAAGTGCCTGTCTGTTTCCTATCAAAGAGCGAGGTGCAATAAAATACACATATTCATCTCATGTTGCCCTCAAACTTGCTGAACTTCTGCCAAAGTTCTATTAAAAGGCTTTGATGAGGTTTTTTTTTGCACAATCATAAGTCTGTGTTTTCCTGTTAGTTTTTTTTTTTCAAATAAAAGTGAAAAAAGAGACATCCCATGAAAATAACAATTAACATTACCCCGAAAGACAAAAAGATGACCGACAAACAAAACACATTTGCCCCGCCCATTCCCCCGCCCTGCCAAGTTCAATTTCAGCTATTCTACTATACCAAGTAATCAAAAAGGCAAGATTCAAAAGGTAACACATTCCAACATCCAGAAACATGTAAGGTCTTCTTACTAAATAAATATTACATCCAATAAAATCATCAGATGTGGAGTCGTTTTCCGGTTTTCTCTAAATATCTTCTACTTGTCTATCAGTTTTGGGAGGGGAAAAAGCAATAACACCTTGACTTCATTAGAAAAAGTCTGACATAGCTCATTTCCAAGGCAATAGCTCTCTAAATTATTTGCTTATTGCTGCTCTCTGTGGTGGTCTGTACAACTTCTGTATCAAAACTATGAAGGCAAATTCGAATCAGACAGCAAGATCAATCTAAAGTACTAAGAGAAATCACTTTACAAGAAAACAACACGTAACACTTCACCATAGCAACACTCACACAGCAAGCACAAAAACATCACTTTCAAAATGTCTGGCTGAAAAAAAGTCTTCGGAAAAGGAAATGGAAGTATTAACAAAACATATTTACTGTCATGCACTTCGAACAACTAGTCACGTGATTCTTCCTCGCATCCTGTGGCAATCCTCGGTAAAAAATAAAACGTTTTCTAGTATGAAAATAAAACTTTTTCAAATCTTTTTTCTTTTTTTTTAATATAATTTGAATCACTTGATGAGCTCAGATATTCTCTCTGAAAATGATACCAAAAATACTCTCACTTAAACATTTGCAGAACCTGTGCAAAACAGTGAAAAGATCCTCAGCATCTGTTGCATTTGTAGACATGATTGTTGTAGCTGTCGTCCCGATGTTGCCTCAGCACTACTTGGTTTGTTGGTAGGAATATGGGGAATGATTGCCGGAAGAGTCCACTTGTGACTGTGCACCATTTTCCTGGAAGAGAAAGTAAAATAACAGTGAGCTGTTGTTTGAAATGAAGACAACGCTTTACACACATCAGGCTGCAATGGTGTTACAACACATACCTCTACAGGAACATTTGATGTCTGCATGTGTGCATACTGTGGGATATATCCTCCTTGCATAGCTGTGTTGGCGGCCATAAACTGCACAATGAAACGGAAGGAAGTGGAGTTATTTATAGAGCATGTTTATGATCGATACATTTTATAGTTTAAAGAAACACTTCACCCCCCAAATGACCATTTGTATATCAATTAATCACCTGTGTTACACTGAATTCATAAAGAAAACTTGAATTGAAGTAAAAGATGGGACACTTTTAACAACAGCAAAACTACATCAAAACATCCTTGTACAACTTCTCACACAAGTTGTGTAGTATAATCAGTCTCATTTATCTGGTCATATGCTCAGTGGACATGCATTTTTACTAAAACCTGGGCAAACACATGGGTTTGCACTCCATTTGGGTTGTTCAAATGCACGTGCCTGCCCGTGTTTGCTACTTGTCCGCATTATGCGAAAGTGTTGCAAATAGCAGGGCTGCTCCCTAACAGTCAACCAAACGTGAGTTGATAGAAAGGTCATTAGTCGGCAAGATTTAATTGGTCACTTAGTCGCAGAAAAAAAGAAGAAGAAAGAAAACAAACATGAAACTCTCTGAGGAGCTGCGTCTTGTCACAATAAATCAAAACCTATATGACTGGACCATGTGGGTATTTAATTTGAAAGGACAGACACAGGAAGAGGCCACGCTCAGCAGTCAGACAGGAGTCCCGTTACAAACCAATCATGCCCAACAGATATCTTTCCCTTCTTCTGTAAATATTCAGTCTGACAAATATGGAAAAGTTGATCATGTTAGTGCAGGGCTACCCAGAGCTTTACATCTGTCCCACGAATGATAGGCCTACACACTTATAAACGCCTGGAAGAAGATCAGATCTGCATTCGGGATTTCAGGTAAATAGGCGATACGGTGCTCTTTAAGACTGCTTAGCAACCTCAGACGCAACCTGCCACCGCGCTCTTGGAAGCTGGCACAAAAAAGGCACAAGAGTAGCAACCAGCGCCTGACCTCGTGTTTACATGCGGTTAAAAACGTGGCATTTGTACGGCCCCTAATTTCCAGGGCTGGTACCTGCGGTGATTCCACAGGCTAGTTAATAACATGTCGGGCAGGAAATCCAAAGTGTGGGATCATTTTGAGAAGGTGAAGGACGAACCCAAGGTGATATGTAAACTCATCTTCATTGGTCGACTACAAACATGACATATCATCTGAAACATGGAAGTAGCTACATGCCCATTAGCCACTTAGCACAATCATTACTGCTTTGCCGACAGCATCATTAACAGCGGGCTCGCTCAGTGTGTGACGTGCAATTGTAGATAAATGTAGCACGGTGTTAACAATGTTACTGATACTATTCTTTCTCACACCTTGAACTCAAACCACTGTGTTGCCACACCCCAAATATATCATTTAATTGTTAAATTAATATCATAAACATGCAGGCAACTAGTCGACTAATGGCCCTAAATGACGACTGTTGGTGAACTAGGAATATTCTAAGTCGGGGGCAGCCCAAGTAAATAGCAAGGTGTCCCCCATGTTGTTGTTTATTTGCACATTCAATATTCACTTGCACTAAATATGTTCACTTTAATCCATTGCTCACTTTTTATCCACTGCTCATTATTATTATTATTATTATTTATTGCTGTTTCTTGTATTTTTTGTACTTTTTTTTCTGCATGCCTAGTTTTTTAAAGTTTTTTAAATATTGAAATCTTTAATTTGACTCTTTACCCTTGACTGCTGTAACACTGGAATTTCTCAATTGTGGGATCAATAAAGGTGTATCTTATCTTATCTTATCTTTAGCAAAACTAGACCTGAATTATACTGCATGAGTTGTGTGAGAGTTTGTAAACAAATGTTTGATGGTTTCGCCGTAGTTAAGCTTGGTCCCCCTTTACTTCAATTCATCAAGAATTTTCTCAATTTTCAGAATCTTTGTTGACTACTGATGCCAGAAAAACAAAGTTTTCCTCACAAAATCAATGTAACACAGGGTGAGTAACTGATATATAAATGATCATTTTCTGGGTGAGTTATTCCTTTAATGAAGCACTTTAAACACCTCATTCTCAATTAAGTACATGTGTGAACTCATTTCTGATCCCATGCAGTTCTCTCACCGTTCCTGCACTGCCCAGAGAGAGGTGACTCATCTGCTGTGCAAGAGGTGCCATCATGGAAGTAGGCTGTAGTGACAGAGATGGGTCCATAGAGGGCGATATCACAGTACCCTGGAAGGAAAGTGTGAGCAGATGAGAGGAATGTATCCAGCTTGTGCATACACAGAGTCACTGAGGGAATACTGTTCTGCAAAACTGAAATGCTTCTCAAAAGACACGTTGAATAAAGATGATCAAATGTCACAAAACTGATGCAGAGAATCTAGGATGTAAACACATAATCAGCTTTGCAGTATTGGATTTCAGGCCAAGAGAGACTGAGTAATCTCAGACTTCACATCTAATAACCCACAGCAGAAGGTGAATAGTCACAAGTTGAGCAAGTTGTCTATAAGCATCTTGGCTGGCCTGATGCATCTAACAGTGTTTTCTCATCTCCGCTGGCTCATTTTCAAAGCAAGAAAGGACTCTTCTCTCTCAATTCGAACCCATCTGTTACAAAATATTCGGCATCTGTCACCAAATACACAGCTTCACATAGCCTCTCCAAAGCAGTCGTTTTTACATTCCTATACAAACACTTTAGTACCGCAAATCCTCAAGGATCAGTGTCACCTTATGTGTAACTACTACTCTCCCATATTGTGTCTGTCTGTTTACAGAGAAATGTTTCAATTCTGTTACAACCACAGAGGGAAATGTTTGGATGAATTAGAATAAAAAAGAGAGAGAGAGATAGATTTGTAATGAAGACAGTGAGGACGAAAAGATTTTGTTCTTACTGGGTGCTGCATGATGTAGGGTTGATGAGGCACCCAGGATGGGTTCTGCACCTGGAACATCACACAAACACGCTCTGTAAACACACTGGCATTGAACAGCTGCTATTTCCAGAGATCACATGCTACTGTGACTGGCACGGCAACAAGAATGAAAGGCCACCGTGCCCTTTGTCACATATCTAACCCACACACCTAAACCCCAGTGGACCGGTTCCTAAATCCTGATGACACATGGTTTATACACACAAATGCTTGCGTTACTACATGTGAAAACTGATGAATGAAATGCCGTGTCTTTGTGGTATTAGATAAGGATTCACACCTGGTACGTTGAAACCGGAGACATGTAAGGAGACATGGATGCTTGAGCAATCATCCTGTTTGAAATACTGTATGCTGGTGGGAAAAATCTGTAAACACAGAATAAATTAAATAAAGTTAAGTACAAAAAAATATATATATATATATAGACCATAACGGTGTAATCTAATTTGTTGTTGCAGCTTACCCATTTTGCATAGCAGCTGCATTGGGGTCATACGTGAGTGTCATTCCAGCCTGAGAACAAAAGAAAGCACTGGTTTGGCAACTAAACTGAAGCATGCAACACCAACAATTAACCAACGCAGCATCACCACATGACGGCCTATTGTGTATCTATTGAGCTCAAACCGGAAAGAGCACAGCCCTTGACTACAAACAACTCTATAATTAACTTCAGGAAACATAACCAGGATTACAACTCAATAAAAATCTTGAGTGACGGATACATGTGATTTATTTTTTGGATCCTGGGTCTTTAACCTTTAAGAATTGCTAAATTCTTGTTTGATAATTCAAGTTATTTTTTTCCCCTGCAAAATTAAAGTATGTCTGGAAATGAATGAATCCAACATATTAGCATAGACAAATCAGCCTATTTGTGAAGAAAAAATGACTGTGCAGGACCTATCTGTTAACGGCGAGGTGAACTAGTTAGCTAACATTTACATACTATTAAAAAATATTGGCCAATTGGCTGCATTATCATTCCAAGTGTATGGACATTCTTGTGAGCTGCAGTGGATCATTTTCTTACTTTTCGAGAAAGAAACTGACATATCCTTTGCCTCAGAAACCACCAACATGGGGTGAAATTAACCCACCTAGCCATGCTACAACTGTTGCTAACTTAACAGCTACAGATAAGCGCTAATCCTGCATAGCCAGACCTATCTCCACAACGCTGTGTCAGCACATGAGAAAGGTCTGGAATCACCATCAAAAAATGCTCTGGGTTGTTTTTGTTTCTTTGAACCAATCACAGTCATCTTGGGCAGCACAAAGCCCAGGATGCAGTGACGGTGCTATTGCAAAATAGTGTTCAGGCTGAACTTGTTTTGGTGGAACATTTGCATGTGGGGGGTGAGCACTGTCACTAAAAACACATAAACATATATCACTGTGTGATTGAACTTTTACTGATTAAAAAGACAAAAATAATTTGATAATTGGAGCCCTAGAGGTGAAGTATGACTATATTTAGCTCTGGAGGAGCTCACTGGACACATTAAAACCACAGCTGATATGCTGGCTGTATGTGGCTGTAGCAAATCATTGTTACAACGATATCACAAAAGTTTATGTGATGTGTAACAGATTGGTACGCTGAAGTCAATGTCACTGGGGCATGACGTTGGCGTGGTTAAAAGATGTGGCAAATCAACTCCAACTGGCCGTGTCAGAAAATGGATCAACATTGTGGGGTGTGAGAGTCCTAAGAGAGATGGAGTCTGGACTTCTTGTTGTAGACCTTTACAACAATTCAACGAACGCAGGCATGATTTATTGCACAATCCAAATTGCCATTGCCAGTTTCTGTGTATAAGTTGTTAGCTCAGAGGTTGTTGTTGTTGTTTCCTGTGGCGAAGGGGATCTGGAAACATTAACATGCAATAGGAGACGGAAAGAAGAATGCTGGCTGAAATCAGCGCCCGACGGCAGGCTTATAGCCACAGTCTATCCAGTGAGTCAGACTAGGCAAGTGCAAATGAGAGACAGCTTAAATATATTCAGAGAATTATCTCAAGTGCAACTCAGTCTTATACAATATATGTAGTAGGGTGTCCTTTCTTTGTCTCTCTTTCAGCTAAAATGTTTAAAATCCCTGCTTTACATGAGTCTTCCGCAACACTAAACAATAAAATTGCACTTAAGTTGTGCTTTTTTCATCAGGTTGTGATGCTAGTAAGTGCACCTGAAACTTGTCCTTAATTAATCCTGATTTTAAGGAGACATCACATAGGTGTATGACTATCAAAAAACAGCATACATAAAGAAAAAGTGTAGCCTGAACACTTACTCCGTGCCACAAAAGTTCAATAACGACAACCTTTTTCGATCCTACTTGGAACTTTGACAGATCAAAATGTTTGAGAAGTCAAAACCACACCTATATTTATACATAATGCACACCAATAAGTTGTCAAGCTCTATAATGGCAGGTGTGGTTAACCATTTAAACCACTCAGGGTGATAAAACAAATGACATCAAACAGTAACCAACAGTAACCAGGCCATACTACTTTGTCTTCTTTTATTATTCCTATCATGGATTGGCTCCCATCACCACTTACCAGTCTGGAGTCACTGTCCCTTCCCCAACCGCGACCATTCAGGGCAAATTTATTCTGACTTTGTCGCTTTTTCTGTCCACCATCAGCAAACTTGCACAGCAAAGGTTCAGATGGTGCTAAAGAGAAACAAGTAGTGAGAGATAAAATGAAGGTTTGTCTTATGCAAACGTCATCACACACTCACACACATAATGCTGTCTGGTATTGCTTGCTATACAGTCATTCACTCCCTGCAGCCTGGGAGTGCACATTTACTAGCCAGCCTGGGAACGCAGACATCTAATTTGGCAGCTGTGGAGCTGTAATCCCCTCCCCTTCCTAAAGGAGGCGAGGCCAGCAGAGACTATTTCAGTCTAATAATCCAATTAAAAAGCTTAGAGAGGGAGTGGAGGCCACACAGAGCAGCTCCCTCTCCGTCGTTTTCTTTGTCTGTGCTCTGCCACTTAGGGCTGAGTGTATATGAGCAGCAGACTTACTGACTCCTGTTGGAGGCATGAATCAGTTGGCTGACCACTTCATCCTGCCTTTACAACACCGCCCATTAACACTGTACGTTATTGCAAAGCAAATCCTGTTATTTTCTTTCACATATTATTTCCATGGCATTTACATTTCACTTCCGCAGTGTGTACCTGCCAATGTAAGATAATAACACTGTATGTCTTACCCGGAACACCTGCAGGTGTTTTAATAAACTTTCCATTGAAGTGAGAAATGACTGCGTCACATTTTTCAGTTGACTCCATCCTGCAGATATAAGAGACACACAGAGCACAGCTATATCAGCGAGAACTGCAGTAACAACGGTGAACAGGTGCTTTCCAAGAAGTGCTTCCTTTCTGGGTGGGTGGAAGAGGTGGTTCAATATAAAACACTGCGAGCCCCAAAGCGCACATATGTTGTAATTAACTTGTATAGTCTCTACGTTTCATACCACACAGACCTATTATTACACACCCATGCAGACAAACATTCCTATGATGCATGCCAATATTTGTGTCATGTCAATCATGACCCCAGCCTCGCCTGTCAGGTATTTCAGTCAAACGTCAGGTTGTGCAAGTACGACTTGTGGAAGCCACTACAATTAAATCACCCAGTCATTGTGAAACTATTTCTTAAAGGTGTTCGTCCATACATGACGATTCTCTCTGCCTTGTTCTCAACAACACAGCTGTGTTATTAGGTATTAATTTTAGAAATGAAAAACATTCTGCAATGAACCGCATGGGGATTTTTTATGAAGAGAAATCAGCAAGAACAGATTTATTTCAAGTTTTAAATCTTGTAAGCATGCCCATATTTATGTGCTGCAAGACATATCATAAGTGAAATAAGCAGTCAATATTATGGATGAACATTTTTGCTTGTAACTGTAAAACACAAATTCTGACTCCCAAGGTTTGTTTCATCACAAACCTAAGGAACAAATCCCTTAACACTGGTATAATGAGGCAAACTGGAGGAGAAGTCAGGCTACATACTGGTATTTTACAGGTTAAGTTTCACTTTCACTTTAGCTCGTCAGAGCTGGCAATCAGGAACAAGGTTTAACTGGCACATTAATAGCTGTTTGATGAAGTTGTCAAGCAGAATGTTTATGTTATCTATTACAGTTCACAAGCAGAGATTTGTGAATATTAAATGAGGCAAAGGTGTAGAGTTACATCAAAGCCATTTTAAGGTATGAAGGGATGTTTTTCATGGGGAAAAAATCAAAATATGTAATTTTGTGTAACAGAGATTGAATTTTAGGGGATTACTCAATGCCTGGAGAGGAAATGTAAATCTTTTTTTGACAATGTTGCCACCCAAAAGGGGTCTCTTAATTTAGTTTAATCTTACCAATGCTAAATGTGGCTCCAGTTAAAAACTGTCCCCTAATATTTTTAGGATCATGATTCACTGAGATTAATTTACACAACTATCTTACCTTGCAAAGCCCACTCCTCTGCTGTTGCCGCTGGAGTCCCTCAAGATGCGTGTAGATATGACCTGGCCGAAGTGCTTTAACATGTTCTCCAGTTCCTGCTCATCCATCGACACGGGCAAGTTGGAGATGTACAAGTTTGTCGGGTCCTGTTCTTGTTGCTGCATAAAAACAGAAGAAGAAAAGAATATTGTAAATACAGTGAAAAAGGGAAATAGGAACCCACTAGTAATGTATTTACACAACAGGAAGTGCTTGAAACACACCTGGAAAACACAAAACTATTCCTTTGTTGCATCGCATTCATACTGGCTTTAGTAACAAGGATGAAGAGAAAAGGGAAGGACAAGTTTCCTTACAATTCCATGTAATTTATGCCTGGAAACAGCTAAACATTTAATGGACTTCTAATAGGGACATCAGCAATGGGGTTAACATGTCTCCACTTATCTCTGCTTCTTCCTGTCTGTCTCTGTCAGGGGCTTTAGGTAGTAAAGGGTCACTATGAGCAGTGATGAACAGAGATTTGCATGCAGCCCACGGTGGCTCAGGGCTCACATCAGCTGATTTCTTGCTGTATCTTAATAGCATCAGCAGAAACATAAGACATGGTTACGAGTCCCCAGGGAGCGGCCTCTCACCATTAATATTCATCAGCGCTGTGTTGTTCAGAGTCAGCTACAGGAACAGGTTGGATTACTAAAAGTAATACACCAACAGAAAAATCTATGATTCAGAATTATGAGGCAGTGAATGAGCCAGAGCATGCGCTGCAACAAAACCCACTGACTGAACCTGCTTTACCCCTCAGGCCTTTGCAGGCAGAGCTGAGCATTTGTACTGCTAAGTGTTCTCTAAATGACCCCTCAGTTAGGCAATTGATAAATTGTTAATAACAGGAAGCTGGTTTCGTCTCTGTTGTTGCACATTAGTTGTTCATTTCTTCCTGTAAGGTACAATTTAACCTGCTCTTTACTGTCACACAGTTACTATTCCAGGAGAAATCACACTTGTGACTTATTTACGAGGGGTTTGAGGGTGAGGTGAATGTTTTTATTGATGCAGTAAGTCAACCAAAGAAGCTCCTCTGTTTTAATACCGACTGTCATCACTTAAAAGAAATATGAAAGAAAGAAAGACATAAAAACAGCATGTGTGTTAAAAAAGCTCGGAGAAATGCAGGGACAAAAAATATGAATGGGTCACCACCCATCAGTCAGTCATTAACTGTGACTGACGCACGCTTGTGGAGGAAGAGCTGATGAAGAGGTGTGGCTGATGGAGGGGTGTTACTCTTTGCCTTGCTACAGAGAGACAGGGAGGATGGGATGTAAAAAATGATGTGCTCTACAGTATACATTTTTACCCTAACTTAACCAGGGTATATTAGGTTAGCATCTTTGCTTTTTTTTTTGCAACAACCTACTCCATAAACCCTCAGTCTTTTTTGGTGGCTACTCAGAAGCCACAGAAGCAGCTGGGACTTTAAATGTCTTTCTCAAGGACGTTAACAATTGTGGTAATGAGGGATGGGCAAGTGCTGCTCTTTCACTTCCTCTGCCCACATTTAGCTTGCTGATCCAAAGATTAAACTGACACTTTCTGGTCACAAGAAACAATACAAAACAACGCTGCTCCTCTGTCAATGTCATTCACAGAGCTTGGTAAACCACCTAAATGAAATCCATGATGTACAACGAATTCTTATACATATGTGCATTAAGTGAATCCCTTATATGCATATGGAGAAAGGGAAGCACAAAGTCAAGTATCACAAGGCTGTCGTTGAAATAACATATGGTTAAAAGAAGGGAAACTCTTATCTGGCCACTTCCCACCACCTGCCTTTGAAATAATAATGAGAGAAAGCCCATTGAGGGTGCCTGTGCAGATAAAAAAAACAGGAAAAGGGACCTTTGTCAGAGAGTCCATTAAGCCCAAACAAGCTGGAGTGAAAGGCTCACACTTTATAATGGCATTTACCTTCCACAATACAAAGATTAAACTTCAGCATGCCCCTCAGAGCTGCTCTATTTTAATTAAAAAAGTAAAATGGGTGCACAGAGGCATGTCAAGAAGCTCTACAGATCCCCAGACAGGGAAATGAGGCCAAGGGTTCTTGCTCAGTGTTGTATGGGAACTAATTTCCCCCGACTGGTTCCTGTTACCATAACAACACACAATTATTTACTTCCTTTCCTGATGTCAGAGAGTTTAGGTATTTAAAGTACCACGGTCCTACTTTAAAGTCATCTGAAAGTCTCTTATGTTATACTGTGAACAAATAAAGCTGTGTCCGTAGTGTATCAATGACTCTGTACACACAATTCTGGGCACCAATTAAACAATAGTTCAAACTATTACTTGAAGATGACAGTCTACTGTAAATCCACCTTCTGCAGCCAAGAACAGATTTTAGATTTTATGTTTTTAACATATTTGTAGCATGAAACCTCGTTTGCTTTTCATGTTTGTGTGAGGGGTTTAAGTGAAATAATCTTCCAGGGAGACAGTAAATCTATGTGTAATGGTGCATTGGAGGAGACAGAGAGACTAGTGTCAGCTCCCAAACAGGCTTGCTGTCAAAGTATGTGCACATGCTGGATAATTTCTCTGCTACGTCATCCTGCTGTCAGCAACAACTATCTCTACACCCTATAGTCTAACTATTGGCGCCACTCACGTCTGAAGCCCTTCTAAAGCCTGGACAAGAGCTGCCGGCTGACAGAATACCTTTGGCGACCATTAATAATGTATATGCATGCAACACTTGCAGGGAGACGCATACATATACACCATATATGAACACATCAGCAAATTACCAAATATATTTAAGCACTGGGGGACAGATTTAACACTCTATTAACTGTACTGTAAATGCAACAGGGGTCAAACTTTATGCAAAATGAAAATGAAAATGAAATGGAGATGAAATGCAGGAGACAATAAGACAAATCAGACAAAGAGAAAGACCGAGCTGCAGCTCAGAGTGCAGCAGGTGGAGGATAGAGATGCTGTTCATACAGCAAATGTCTTCCTGGAATACTACAGTTAAATGCGGTCAAGTGCTCACTCTGAATGTTTCACCAAAACGAATAACTAACTGACTTTGGGACCTCACACCATCGACATGCAAACTGAGAATTGAAAACTCCAACAAGCTATGCACGTGTGTCACATTAGCTCCAAATGCCTCAGTAAATCTGGTGCAAATTTGTGCAAATAATAAACATCAAAAATAGTTCCACACGCACACGTATGCACAAATATCCACTGTTTTCAGCACATGCTTCCTGCTTCATGATTTAACTATACAGAGTTCACTACAGACCAAGTGTTTTGCAGCATACACCCTGCAGTCAAGGATTCCAGTCCTGCTATTTAATACCACACAGATTAGGTTAAGGTTGCCTCACCAGCCAGATGGAGGAGAATCAGTGTTAGTGGGTGACTTGCATGGGTGTGATATCAGGATTAGACTGTAATGAATCCTCACCTTTGCCATCTGAGCTTGGACACCAGTGGTCTTTAGAGCAGCCACGGCTTTCTGAGCTGCAGCGGGGCTGTCGAAGTCCACAAAGCCATATCCTGAGGAGACAAGCAGCACGGTTAGGACAATATTCTATAGCCAGCACAAATAAATGGCCGAGCCTCTGCGTTGCATGGGCTGACTTGTGCTACTCTGTGGTGGAATGTGTGTTTATTCCTGGGCATAACATGTTACAGTGTGTTACTGTGTGAATTTACATGCATATACTTCTGCATTCTCTTCATATATTGAACTGTGTATTTACGTGAGCTTTTATGCGTGTTTTTGTGTGTGTGTGTGGAAACAGAGGTAGAAAAGTGCTGATGATGCAGATACCAGTGTGACGTTCATAGCTCAGGTCAGCTCTTTGTCCTGGGGGGCACAAACAGGGTGAACCTATAGTCCCTAACCTTTGCTGCAGCTGCTATATTTAACTTATTCAAGCTAATTTATGGTGAATATGTCAGGGCTCTTTAAAAGTTTAATGAGACTCTTGATAATTCTGAAATTAGCAAGGTCGCACAAAGTTAGTGCTATAGCCATCTCTGGCTTTAATTCAAAAGTCAGTCGAAGTTTTACAAGGGCTTTAACAGCGTCGCCTCTCACTGACAGCCATTGATTAACTGGCATGTGTTTAATCCCGAGGAGAGTGACAACACATTCTCTTAATCCCATCAGCACGAGAGAGAATCAGTAAGTCCCTCTTAAGTCAGACGTGCAGCCTACGAGAAATGGACCAAGACCAACAGTGTCACTCAGCAGAGAGAGGAGGAGTCTGGCACTTCTTCCCAGGAAGCACCCACAGCAGTAACACACCAACAGACAAGAGCTGAGGCTTAAAATAACATGAGCTGGGAGGCAGCTTTAAGCAGCCTGGCTGTCTGTTTCCTGGCTTGCCTGGATCATCTGACACAACTGCATAGCTGCTGAATGACTTGATGTTATGATAAAATTCCCACATTGGACGTCTACCATTTTTTTAAAGACAGTGTGGACTTGAAATTCTCTCTTGAGGTATTGAAAATACCTCAGGGCACTTCATAGTGTTGGAAAGGGAAAAACAACATCACACACCTTTACATTTGTTTGTAGTCTTGTCCAGGATGGCCTTTGTTGATACAATTTTGCCGTACCTAGGGGAGGAGCAGAAAGGCGAGGCATTGTTAGCTAGGATTATGTACCAGACAGAGCCAGTTATAAAACACACAGAGAGGAAGGGTTGGGCAACAATCTATGACATCACTGTAAAAATATGAGAAACAGGAAGTGGTTTCCATGTGGTACTGAAAATCCCCACCATGTGAGTGCGAAGCTAAACAGTCTCTTTTTAACTCAACCACTGTATCAAGCTTTACACAAAGTCACCAAAGACACCTTACTAAATCACTTACAGATGCCTGTGCGTATGTGCAAATCACTGCCTTACAACACACGCAGATGGTGACATTCAAAAGTCTGGTCTGGTTTTGCCTTTGGTTAAAAGGTTAAAAACTCGTCTCTTCTTTTTTTCAAATACAACTGTGCATTTTTGGTGCCACTTTTAAAACCATTTTTTTTATTTTTATGAATTAAATGCAATGTATACTTATGTTTAACTGTTTCATCAGACCAACTGAGTTCTAGAAAAAGTCTTTGGGAAAATTCAAATCAGGATAACAAGAGTAAATCCTGAGACAGCTGTTTGAAGTAAAGAAGTCCACCTCTGTAATCCTCCACACAAACGGTTGGCTTTTGGTTTGATGCCAAGTTTTTTTATCATGCAATCAATTCACTTGTTGCACATTTTTTGATCTGTTCAGTGATTTCCGTTTTTAAGAGTTTCTTAAACTCTAAAGAAGTGCGGTGGAAAAACATTTAAAACTGGGAGTAATGGAATGTATGAAGGCTTCTTTTAAAATGAATATCTTTCACTTTTATTTTTCCACATGACCAACCACAATGGATAAACTCAGTCCATATGTATCATGTTTAAAAAGACCTCTATCATCTACAGTGACCATGTTACAAGCCATGATGTACCCTACAGTTAACCAGGAGGATACTTTAGCCAAGGATTAGGCTAAATGCTGAAATGGGTGAAAGAGCATGAACTTATGACCTTTTCTTCATCTGAACGCTAATCTCAAATCATGCGAGGCTGCAGCATGTTTGCTCTTCCACTACCATCAAACTGTACACAAAAAGTAATAAACGGCACATCTAATAAATGAAGTCACACTTTAACTGTGAAGCAACTAAAAACTTTTGCATTTAGGTTGCTCTCTCAAATCTAAAAAGCTCTCATTTGAGGATCAATCCAACACTGAAGTAAAAGATTTTTAAGTTTTGTTTTTTATCCACCTGAATCTTTAATAAAACAAAGATGAACAAAATACTGAGTTACAGCTAAAGGCCAGTGTCAACATGCAATATATTTCTAAACACCCAAAGAATGAATTGGCAGCTTTATGCTGCAAAGTCAGTATCCCATTGTGAAGAAGGGCTGCAGAAAAAAGTCAAATAAACCCTCTGAGGCACCAGGGTGGTCTGAAGCATCCAGCGCACAAAGAGAGCTGTGGATGAGCCTGGCGCTGACAATATCTGTCCTTTATCCACACACATGATGTATGAAACCTCTGCTGCTATGCCCCGCATGCTTATCATATATGTTCTGTCCTTGTGTGATTTTCAAGATTCAAATGTAGCTTGCAACGCTGCTGGAATTGTTTTAATCTCAAATATACACACATGAATCCATAGGTGTATCATCACACTCTGTAAAGTCCAAATCTACTCTTACATCCTTTCTTTGAGGATTTTTAAACAGATATGTGGGGCTCATTTGTCTTCTAAAGTCAGTTTATTAGAATGGAAGAACATTTACTATGCTAAATTACAACATAGATAACACTAAATAAATCCTATTCTTTAAACATAAGTGCACAGTTGCACTTGTAAAATGGCATTTTTATATCTTACCCTTTACTCCTTATTTGGATTTTAACAAATGTGTGTCAAAAAATGACTGCCACTGCAAATTTAAACTAGACTCTAAATCTAAGTGGGCCAAAAAAAAAAAAAAATCAATAGCTGATCGATAGCAGATAATGATGAGAGGAAGTGAACTCACGGCTGACAGAGCTTGACCAGGTCATGGTCCGTGGTCGAAGGCGACAGGCCTCGGATGTAGAGGTTGGTTTTGCTGAGCTGGTCCCAGCCTGCAGTGCTGCTGCTGCTGCTGTTGTTGGTGCTGTTGGTGCTCGGGCTGGGTGGAGCCATGGGGTGTGACGATGAGGCAACAGGTGGCTGGAAAAGGCAGGGAAACACTGGGTTGAATTCAAGTTCAGGCTGGGTGGTAATTAAATAGTATTATTTGGCATCATGGCTCAAACTCTCGGGTCTAAATGACAGATTCACCTCTGACCACAACCTGCACGTTCAAGCACTGGAAGTGAGCAGAAATAAGATTTGGTGTTCAGGTGGTGTTAATTACTCCTAAAACCTACAATAACTAAATCTGCAGCCATGTTGGGGCAGCAGCATCAAGCTATAAACACAATATTGACATATTATCACCTTAAAGGAGCTCTACATGATATTCAGAGCATATCCATGATACAGAGGTTGTCTGCACACAGCTCTCAACGTGGAGGTGGCTGAGCTGACTGCTAGCAGCTAACAGTGCTAACAACAGCAACAGTGCTGACAGAGGTAGCGGTGTTATTCAGAGCATGGATGCTATGTGTCCCAATATCAGTGGTAACCACCATATAAGCCTAGTGCAGAAGGGTGGCAATTAGCTAGCCAGTGGGATACACATGCGTCACTCACGTGCACAAACATGCACACACGGCCAGTCCATCTACCACACCAAAGAACAGATAAGCTCTGATTACAACACACAGAGGAAGTGTGACTTCATTCTTTGGTCTGGACACCATTACTCCACTGCATCGTTACATAACAAATAATTGCTGCTATATTAATGCTCTGAATATTGTATAGAGCTTGATATGGTGAAGTTGTTTGCAAGCAGTTGCTTATTTACAACCTGGCAACCTGGTGAAAAGAAGACCAGTATTCCATCTTTTTTACCTATGTTTTGCTCTCTACCAACCCCCTGGGGAAATTTCTAGTGATTTAGCTGCAAAAGGCTCCACTATGTACAGTAGCTAGGCTGCTAACTGTGTCTGTCTGCTGATTGGTGCTGGGGACATATAATACAGTAGGTTTTTAGAGCTTTTTTTTGAGCTGAAAAGAGCTGACGCGTCTGGAAATGAGGCAGATGCGGTGAGGGTAAACCAAACCAGTAAAGTTGCAGGCTGTAAAACCAAAACACTTAAATAAAAGTTGCTGAAACACTCCGCAGAGGTGAGGAGAACTGCACAGTCGATTGTCTGGGGGTACATCATTACGAGTGACCCCTTTCACATCGTCATTTGGTTCATTGTTAATTCAACATTATTGATTACAGGACATTTAAGTAAGCCTAATCCATGTCCTTGTCAGAACAGATAGCAACTTGCTGCAAAAGTTCTGCACTTTTCTGAAAAAAAGGATGGAGGTACGAAGGACATAAACGTGATCATTTGTCTCACACATTTCACACGATTTCACACATACATAAACCAAGAAAGCCCTGCTGTGTGCCCTCACCAAGTCACTCATATATAGCGACATATTAAGGGAAAAATAGATTAACTGTGTGGACACTCCATCATTAGCATCATGTGAGTTTCTGTCCAGGGTGAGGATTAATGTTTTCCAGACCTGTGATCCATATCTGCAGAACAATCTCCATCACACCTTCGCAGTCAGCACAATCGGGGTCCACAGGGGCTCGTAGCTCTGACATCAGTGTCACACTGATATCACACTGCTTCGGGGTGTAGAATCAGCTATTCACAGGTCAACGTAAACAATCATCTCTGGTGTAGCGCCAGACTTCTTAACTTCATAACTCTCATTAATGAGCAGCTTTATTTATACGCTCTGAATGGTTTGAGCGACTTCTGGTATGACCATGTGTCTTTTCCCTATTCATTCAAGAAAAAACAACTTAACATTAACAAGCACTGTGATTTTCACATGCTATTCGGTTTTGGTACATAATAGCTGTGGGGCCTGCCCTTCTGGGGGAAAGGGGAGAAAAACAGTGAGAATCCCTCAGTGATTGAGCAACTTTGTGCTCTATGTTTACAAGACACAGATGTTGTAGTCTGAGAGCGCACTCCCCTTCAGGGATTTGTCTTCTTCTTTACTATCCAACACTGATTATCCCCCCCTAACCCCCCTCTCTGAGAAATCACAACCTGAGAGGAAGCTGATGGAATCCCAAGCATGAAGTGGCGACAGGATTGAGCAACCCAAGTCTGGACTAGAGGATCTTCTCCTGTGACCGGCTGGTCAAACGCCTCACATGCCTTCACAGTGAAACGAGTTTGACTTACTGTTTACTATCTGATCGGTGGCACAAGTCCTCACTTCTTCTGCCATAACAACCGGTTATCTGCTGTCTTAAGTACGGTCTGGGTCACAAACTTAAAATAATGAACGTGCTGTTTGTGTTTCCTGATCAGGCTTTCCACCAACTAAAGGTAATGGATTATCTGGAGAGATCCAATGAGACTGCTCTTTTGTAGTCGCTATAAGGGCAACACAAATAATATAGCCACTGTTGATGCATGAATAGGTGACAGATGAGCCGTTACAGAACCTTGCAATACTTGGAAAATGAAATCAAAACCTCATCAACAGACTCAACTATAATAAATGTTAAAAATATTCCAGTTGCTCTCATGACTGGCCCTCATTTACAAACAACATAACTGTGGCTAAATTCCTGATTTTTGTGAGGCCATTGGCAGGAAACATGAATCACACATTAGGCTATAGTCAGGCCAAAAACTTGCTTAACATCAATTACCGAAGAAACAGGAATAACTCCTTAAATAAGGCTGACTAAACGTCAGTTTGGCAGCAAATGGGAATAACTTTGATATCAAAAGGACCTCACTGGCACCAAAGTAAAGGGGACAGGTACTGTGCCATCATAGTAGCTCAGTCTGTGGGTACTGAACCTCATTTAAAGGGGAACACGACTTAAATTAAGAATTCTAATATATTATTTTCATAGTGTAAAGAAGTTCAATCAATATTTGTAAACATGAGCAAGCCTCTCTCAAAGCCACAAAACAGAGAAGTAAGTCTCAAACTTGTGATGTCATCAAGTATAAAGTCTGGAGCTGCTCCATAGACAATGAATGGGAGCTTGATTTTGTGGACCCACAGAATGTTTTCCTTTTTATACCAAAATGACATTTATTCTGTTGTAGTGTTTTCAGTTCTGAGACACCTAAATACCCAGAACACCCCCTGAGTGCTCTCAGTGTCATCTATAACATTTTCCCAATTCACTCGTCTATGGAGCAGCTCCACACTTGATACTTGATGACATCACAAATTTGAGTTTCAGCACTGACTTTTTGGATTTGGGAAAGAGTTGTTCATGTTTACTAATGTGTTTGGAATGTCTTAGACCACATGAATTACATATGAATGTAGAAAATGCGCATAGCCCCCCCCCCCCCCCCCCCCCCCCCCCCCCCCCCCCCCCCCCCCCCCCCCCCCCCCCCCATCTCTCAATATTTAAAAAGTTTCTTATCCAAAAGCATCTCGGCATCCCAAAAGAGTGAGTCTTGAATGAATCAATTTAAAGCTGAGACTATTCCCCGTTTATACATTTCAGGTAGACAACATGGAGATCAAAACTGTATATTTCATACCAAATCCATAGTAAGAACCAGTAACAACTTGAACTGTATGAGGACATGAGAAAAGCAAACAACCAACCCAGTGTGGGAAATCAATGGGGTTAGAGACAAAAGCTTTAGGATATAAAAAAGATCCTCTTACTACACAAACATGAGACATGCATTACATACATTCAAACAATACTTTATAACCTATAAACCAATATACAAGACAAGCCAGAGACTGTCCGCCACAGAGCCCCGAGCTCCATTTTCAACGTCTGGGCTCCAGGTGAGCGAAACTTCCCCTTTTCTGTGGGACTGGGAGTGGATTTTGTTTTCATACACGTGCATACACCGGCTACTCAGATGTAGGACTGTGAGAGACTGTGATGGGGGAGAGGACGGCATCTTATCAGCCAGCTCCAGACCGGCAGAGCCCGTCATATCCGAAGTGGAAATACACAGGGCTTCCAGTAACAGGCCTCGCCCATGGAGCTCTAGCCACAGGATAACAGCGTAAGCACGGCAAAGCAAATATGCTTATTCAAAATATTTTGGCTAAAGGGAGTTTTGGAAATTGATATGTAACTGGGACAAAGTGAAGGCATCAGTGGACAATAAGTCATCCATACTGTATGATTATGCAAGACACAGAAACCTAATACTGCAGGTAAATGGGGTGTGAATGTATGGTAACCTGTGGTTTGTATCATGTCCACTGGTCTCAACAGTGCAAATAAATATATATAGGAAACTGCAAACTTCTGTTTTGTGTATTGGTGTTTATAGCCAGCCCATGTGCACTTCATTTATGATCCAATATATGTAAAAAGTGATGCTACTGGAGACTGTTTTACTATGTGGTCACTAGCCATTAAATTAAGCATCAGCTGAGGTCACAGGCCTGTATCCCTCCAGCAGTGTCGGACCTGGACCACAGCCCGAGCAGCAGGTATTCTCATTATCCATAAGTGACCTAAATGAATGTGTCAACACACACAGCAACACAACAACACAGCCATTTCACATTACGTAAGTAAACCAAAGTAAGTTTTCTGTCTGTTTGAGCGTCGCGTGAGTTTATTAAGGCTGCGAGATGCTGTCAAACAGACCCTTTTAGCGACTTCCCTGAAGTCTGTTTGTGTTTTAATATGTCTGAATGCTATTTTAATAAATAAATATTAGTGTATTTACCTGTTTGCGATACGGAGTCCTTAGTGGGTTTCCAGTATTAGCAAAAATCATCCTCAGTTCGAAGAGGGAGGGCAATTTTCTTCAGTTAAGCTACAATTTCTCTCGCGAAAAACACCAAACTCCTCGTAAAAGTAGAATATTTTTTGACATGGAAAGCCTCCTTACTCCGCTAAAGGACACAAAAATAGCATTCCGCACATATTAGCTGTGTACATAGCCTTATTGTCGTCGACTATCCGGTAACAGAAACCTCCGTAAATTGTCCCAACTTCGATTGCCCAGCCCCGTTTGTTTGACTGGCTTCATTGATTTGCAGTCAGCGCTGCGCAGGACAGACTGCCACAGTGGGACAAACCATTCGAACACTTAGTGTAGGGGTGGTCTTTTAACAATTCTCCTCAAAATACACACCATTTTACACCTTTTCGCTATAAAGGAGATTTAACAGTCATTTTCTTAAAACATAAACTATATTTTAGCACTCCACTTAATCTACATCACACTTTATCGACTGAACACACAATACAATGACACCGTCTTCCCCCATGTCGTTGTTCCTGTATTAAAAGATGCATACCAAACATTCCACAGTGTGACTGTCCTGGATGTGATATCCTGACAAGTTTTAAAGGTATTTCTGCGTTGGAGTCGCAAACCACAAGGGAAATATATTCACAAGAAGGGTAAAAATGTAGTGCTTTGGTAAGGTTTAATGATTAGAAGCCTATTCAAGGCAGCAAAGCATTCCGGTCAGCTCGGAGACGCAACCTACTGATGATCAATATGAGCTCCAGTGTAAATGGAAATGATAAATTGTGGTGTGGCTTTATAGAGGCCTGAATGAAAATGATTGCTGTTTTTTCTAAGAGATGCTGTGATACGAATGTAAATGAATTAGATGTGTTTACATACACAAGCGAATAGGCATCACTGAAAAAAATAGACTATAAGTTCACACAATAAAGCCATAAAACATAGAGAAAATAGGCCTTTCCTCCATTCATATATTTTTTTATGTAGGCTACTTGGTTTATTATATCCAGGATGAGTGAAATTGGATAAATGATTGGTTCCCGATTTTAGTAAAGGATCAGTCCTCCCAAATTAAGTATACAGGCCTATAAAAAAAATCAAAATTATTGGTAGGCTTTGGTGATATTTTTAAAGCTTGCCTCCACTCTAGCTTCTGCCACAACTAATATTATATATGCTATCTTAATATATATATAGTAATACCTATAGTAATATTAATTCACAGTGGTTTTTGCAGATTATCCAGAAGAGGTCTCATTAATGAATATTGCAAACCTCTGAAAATAGAATAGAAACTATCTGCATGGCTGGCAACCACTGGGGGACATTTGGAAAATATGCTTTTTAATTATTGCGATGAACTAATCCTTTATGGATTAGGTCTTGCCGTAGAGTAACATTTCCCTGAAAGAGATGGCTTCTATTATGGATTGTGTGCAGTAGGACCCTCTTAATATGAGTGACAGGTGGTTGTGGTTTGTGTGTGTATGTGGGGGAGGTCTTATTAGAGCAGGTAAGAGAGGCATGCTGGGCTATAAATCCAAAGCAATCTACCCACCACTGTCACCTGCTGATTGGAAAACCAACACTGGTGGTGAGAATTAATGGCGACCTTCAGCAGGGTACAAGCACCATGCTATAACCACTGTCTTGTTCTGCTGTTATAGTCTCTCTAAACAGTTCAATCTAGTCTCCAGTTTAGTTAGCAGTTGTTGATTGCAGTTATTTCATGTTACCACTGTCGGTAAGAACAAATAAGACAGATACAATGCAAATAAAATATTACCTGCACAGTTTAAGACCTGTATTCTTTTTCACCAACCTATAAAGAGAAATGGTCTCTGCATTTGTGGTATGATGAAAATTTGGCTTCCTAAATCTTAGTAATTACTGAAATTACTTTCAAGAGCCCACACTATGACATCAGTGTCCTTTTACAGAGGGCACTGGCACAATGAGTATAGGTGTGATATGTGATACGCCTTTCCCAAATGAAAGCAAAGGTCACCAGTGGAGCATGTAGAGAAGTTCACCAGGCCAACAGGAGTCATTGGGTCAGCATTAGAGGAAAGGGAGAGAGGTCTGATTCAGCACTCTGCTCAGGACACTAAAGGGGGGTCAGGATAGACAGAGAAGCAATTGAACCACCATCTTTTATGACACAGTGAAAGGAAAGGTTATCTCTTGTCCCTGCGTTTGTGTAGCACTATAATAGCACCTAAATAATCCTACATACCCATCTAATGATATTTGAAATGAATGTTATTATCATGGGTACAGTCATTTTGAGTGTTTATCCAAATTTGAACAATGTCCACTGCTTAGCATATCTCAAACCAGAAATGGAGTGAGCATATCATTTAGATTTAAAGCCCACAGTATTAACAATATAATGTTAAATCACTGCACGCAGGCTGTTTTCATATGAAAGGGCGGCCTTTGCCTGATATCCAAAGAGCATGCCATTCCCATGAAGGAGATCTCCTTTCATTATAGATGCAGGTTTAGATTGCGCATGCACAATCACTCGAACAGGCACAAACATGCATCGATGCAAAGATTACAAGATCACTACGACACAAACCCATAGGCACACAGATCACACACACACACACACACACACACACACACACACAAATGTACACACACTGGGTATTTCCAAGGGAAATAAGAGAGTGAGGTTATTTTAGGACATTGTGCTACTTGTTCTCTCACTCCTCCCTGAACTCATGAAAACAGTCTCTACCAGCAAACAACCCTGAGGTAGCCTGTATGAAGAAAGCGTTGCTGCTCTGTTTTGTCCTCGCAAATCATAACAGCAGTTACAGTCTCACAGCTCATTCTGTGAAAGGCAGAGAGAGAAAGGGAGCGAAAGGGGGAGATGTTTCTCCTCACTTCCTGTCTGTGTGTTAGATTCCTGAGAAGTGTTTTAGCAGCTCCAGGAAGCTTTTAGTAACAGTCTCAGTACCTTCCTGACTGGATGGAAGTCTTGGTTGGGGCGTGTAACCCTTCTTTGGCAGCAGCGGATTCATTTCCCCTGACTTTCGACTGTATATTAACCACAAAAGAGAGCTCTGAGTAACGATGTGTGTGTGTGTCACACAGGAAAAATAGGCCACATTCACAACTCTGGTCTTTAATTGAGGCGGTGAGGGGTGGTCGTCATGTGACAGCCCTGCTCAGTTATCTAAAAAAGAATGAGTCACTTTATGCCTTCAGTGTAATGAACAACGGAGGATGATGTTTTTTTAAGAAAGACATTATTATAGATTATGATTAGATGATTGAAATGACTGAATGGTCTCAATTACAGGATTCTTTGAAATCCCCCACCACGCAGTTCATAGTCTATGTTTGATTTACAGCAACCAAGAGCTTAAATGTCATCACACTAGTGAGGGCATCACAGGTCCATTCCATTGCACTCTTTGTATATACATAATCAATAATCACTTATGACCTATTAGTAGTGTGTGGAGGTGTATTTATCTGCAGAGACTCTACCTCCTTCCGATATTTTGATTTCTCCTTTTTTATTTTACTACTGTGGAACTTCAGTTAAAAGCCTCATCCCAATTAAACGCCCAGTCCTGTTTACTAGCCTGGTGTGGCTACACATTTTGACAAATATACACCTGTCTCAAATAGATGCCTGGTCTGGTTGCCAAGCAGCTCTTTTTTTTTTAAAACAGAAGTTTTTTGGATTTATAAAAGCAGGTTGTTTGCTACCTCAAGTCTAATGTGTTCATTCCTCGATTACCCTGTAAGTTCTTCATATTCCTTTAGTCTGTAAGGGTCCCCAGATCAAAAGAATAAAAAGAGTTTTTCATAAAAATTAATCCAAGTTGTGAGTATTGTTTTAACAGGATAAAGTGGTGTTGTGTTGGTGTGTCGGTGTGCTGGGTGCCATAACTCTCACTCTCTCTGATCGTCTGTTGGCTCTGTCTGTCGGAGCTAGATAATTTTTAAACAAGTAATATTCATGCTGGTGTAAATAAGCGATTTGATTTTATTTCCTGATCTTTGCTGATCAACAGTTTTGTGTGAAAGGAATTAAAGGCCCGTCCCAAATATAGGTCTATTGATTTTGGTGATTTAAGCAAACAATACCCGGGGCTATTAATTGACATGTTACGTTATGCTCGGGACATTAATGGCCACAGTGTGCAGGTGAGGTTTTGACTTTAACAAAAGGTAGCAACCAGGTCCCAGACTGTAGGCAGCATGCATTATAGCACCAACCAGAGGCGGAAGCTCATGCTGCTTACAGGAAAATTGGTCACTGCACGCATCCAAAAGGAAGCCACAAATATGGTTAATACATGCTGAAAAACTGCAAATAGCAAATGAGAGTGATTCTGGGGCTCACTTTCACTACACACAGTAACCAACACTTCCTGCATAGTATACCTTTAAACATATGCTTATGCACAATTTATTGCTGTGGGATAATGTTAGATGTAGTAATTTATTTTGGACTTTCATAATGTTAAAGAAACTCTGTATGATATTCAAAGTGTATCTATGATTCAAAAGTTGTCTACACACGGCTCTCAACATGGAGGCCAGCAACTAGCAGCTGTGCTAATGGTGCTAACAACATGAAAAGTGCTGACAGCTAATGGTGTTGTGCAGGGGGGAACCAGAGGGTAGGTGCTATGCTTCCATAAAGATGCTGTCCTGATAGCTGTAACCACTATATGAGCTCAGTGCAGAGCGGTGGTGATGAGCGAGTCAGTGGGATATACACACAGGGACTCACATACATCATGGTCTACCACAACAAACAGAGCAGCTCTGATAACTCCACACACACAGAGGTAGCTTGACTTCATTCTCTGCTGAGGACATAATTCCTCTGTATCTTTACAGCACATAGTTATTAGCTGCTCTATTATTGTTGTGAATGGCTCCTTTAACTAAATGTACAAAACATATGGCATGGTAATTTGAAAATAAAGAAACAGAAAATCATCTGATGTGAAATGTTCATTATGACACCTCATTTATATGTTAATTCTTTATGAAAAGACATGCTAAAACTTAAATAACAACGATTCTGTTTTACTTAAATTGCTTTATATAGTGATATAAAAACATCACAAAGACATGGTTTCAAATGTAAATGCTTACTTCATAGGCTGACATAAGATCACACAATGTAGTCTTCCTTTAAATTTGTCCTCACATATGGGTTTGTATGATAGGGTGATTTTTATTCATGTTCCTCGCTAAAATTTTGCACACATATTTGAAGCA